ATTTCTTCTTTTCAACAGGATTAGTGACCTCCCATAGGGAGTTTAAGGAGCTAAATTAGGCTTGAAATTAAATAATGTCAAAATCAGATAGATGTTTACGCAGGAGGAGCAATTTATTTAATTGAATAGATCAATTTTGAATTGTTAAAAAATATGGGATTAAATTTGTTAATACAAAATGCACCGCATGCGTTACATGCAAGCTTTCATTTTGAGCGATGGGAAATCATTTATCTGTTCTGTGAGAATCTTCTGATAACTTTCATTTTATTAGAATGTTTCATTTCCAATTATACTTCAATTTTAATTCAATTCATCAAAAATCAATTAAAAAAAATGACGAGAATAATTTGTTTCCCGCATTTTGGCGTTTTGTTTAACGTTATTTATTTCTATTTTTAAGCAGTTTTATGATGCCATCTTGTAAAACGATTAATTTGTATATACTTTATGATACAGTTAGAAAACTAAAAAACACGATTTCTGTTGCGCTCTCTTCCATATTTATTGAATTATAAAAAAAACCGATACAGTTACATATCAAAATGGATAATCGAATATGTAATAATCTAAGGAGTTAACACACGAGAAACAAACACATTGTATCAGTAAGATATTTTGTTGTGAAAATTTAGGTTTATGAAGTATGCAATTGTGCACAAACTATGACCGTTATTCTCGCAAGCGTAAGTTGAAATTGAAGGCAGTTTTATTTGTCCTTTTATATTACATTTCTATTTTGATACCTCGAAATGTATTTTGTTACCTACACTATTAATCTCGAGCATGCTTGATAGAAGTTATCCACGAAACATTTGTTGTGCTCACTGAACGTTTATATAGAAAAAATTACAAAAACTAGTATGAAAATAACGAGGTATGAAAAATTTGAACGAGTTAAGATAATAACATCAAGGAACTTTTAATTCTCAATTTTCCCAATCATTGGTTAAGCTTAAATCAAAATTATATTTAAAAAATGATAGTTTTGACTTTTTGTATCCTCCAACAGCTAAAACGTATACGAATAATTACTCATTACTCTACATATATCGATTTAATGTTACAGAAAAGGTTACCAAAAGTTCATGTAAACAATTGATTATTATCATTAATAAATTAGGCATATGATGATTTTTACCAAAATTGTCCGTATGTCGATACAAAATAATAATAAAAAAGAAAGACAATTTTTATATTTGATTAACGAGATTCAGATCATCTGTTATTGAGTATATCAAATTTATGGTTTATTGTTTGAACAATATTAAAATCATTTAAAGGTCATTCAATATATATCCTTGAAAATCTGATTACACAGATACCTATTTATCTATAATTTTCACAATAACAACTTTTTGTGTCAATGTCAAGTAGTTCTTTTTTCAATGTTTAAGGCATTCGAAATTGATTTTTTACCCCACGGTTTTGTTAGTTCACGAACAAACTGAAGATACACTAGTGAAAACTTTTTTCAATGTATTATTTGATTTTAAATGTAGTGTAGCCTTCTGAGTAAGAACGCATATTTTATACGTATGAACTATACAAGACAGTAAATCAATTTCCTACAAAAATCATAACAGGAGATGAAAATTCCTGGCTTTTAATTATTGTTTAATTTTTTTCATGATCTACATAACTGTATTTAATTTAATTTCATGTTATTCATCATTATAACCATCAATAAACATGGAACTAAGTTTAGCTTCATCTTGTATTTGTTTTCTATCAATAAATACAAAAATGTACAAACTACATATATTTTTCTACAATGTTCTAGTAATTTATGATTTTGAAATTGCAGTTAACAATTTAACATCAACACTTCAACACAAACATACTGAAGATACGAGAGTGAAAACTATTAACATTTACAACTTTTGAACATCGAAAAACTACTGTCGCCTTTATTTAACAGCAAAATATTTGTAAGTGACACTTTTACACTACGTTCATGTTTTAAACAGTTATAATTTATATAAAATTTTAACCTTTATTGAATTCATCAATCAACACATATTCAATATCAGTTGCATAGTCCATCTTTTTTCATTTATCGTCCCTGCTGATTTAACAGGCAACATCTTCATTTAGTTACGTACCTTTCACTTCAACAGTTTAAACAATGCAACAGATGTTCCATGGTTATATGTGTCATTCACAAAAAACTAACTATTACTCAATTTACACCGAATAACATATTTCACACAATTTCCTTCAATAGACGTAACCTGTATTTTTAATGGCAAACTGTAGTTACATATACTTTACATAAAAACTTTGGTCTTATTTCATCATAAAAATATTAGAAGTTTAAGACATATCCGAAAATACAAGGTTGCTTGCAGTTTCTGCTTATATTTCGTGATTTTTTTTTTATATCGTTACAATATATAAGTTGCCATGCGCGTTATTAAAATCATTTGGAATTTTTGTAATACTTTTGAAGTTGCTGTGTGGAATCTTTTATCAAGTACAGACACCGTCATAAGAATGTAGGACGACATGACATCTTATCACCATGTTCAGTAATCTGTGTTAGCTTTCAGCAACTGATAGCATTCTTTGATACGTTATATTATTGTTTATTATTGATTAATTTGTTTGTATTTGTATTTGTGTTTTTTATTTTTTTATTTTTTCCTCTTACATACCATTATTTTAGAGTTAAGTGCTTTTTTGAATAGGTTCTATTGTATGTTTTTTTATTTGCCTTTTTAGTCCAATAATCAAGATTAAAAGGGGAGGGATAAAATTTAGGAAAAACATATGTTAACCCCGCATGTGCATATGCCTATCCCAAAGTAAGAACATCGATATCGGTTGTCCTTAGTTATATCCTAATGATTTTTTGTCATTTGGGAAATTTGTTGTTGTTCGCAGAACTTTTTAAGTCTGTTTGATTTATATACTACTTTTATAGACTACGGCGATTCGAACCTGACTATTGTGTAGGCAACAGTCAATTGTCGTAGACCGTATGTTGTTCTCAAGATGTCGTTTGGGTTTTGTGTTGTAAGGTTGCTGCCTGATTCACATATACCCTAAAGTTCCTTTTATTCATAGTTTTTCTTCATTATAATCTTAAAATGAGACAGACTTAAATGTGTCTATCGTATCCTTTATTTCAAGTTCGATGCGATAGATGCGTTCAACTGAAACATAGTCACCAAACTTTGAATTATTTTGTAAGAGAAAATCATCTATATAGCAGAACGTGAGGGATAATGCTAGCTTATATTCATTCTTTGCGATGAGCTCATAGCTTAGTATGATTAAAGGAACAAGTATGTAAGTAGAGAAGTACCCTTAATCCCCATAGGAATGCCGGTTGTCTTTTGTAAAACATGTTCTCCAAACGTATTCAATATGTTGTCAAAAAAATGTCAGCATCTTGGAGATGTCAGTTTGTCACTTCACTACTTTGTTGAAGATTTGCGAAAAGCAAATGTTTATGTTAGTTATTTCTTCCCCGTTTACATTTAAAATCTTGAATGATACTAACAGCCCAAGTTTGATTTTAGATTCGTTCACTAGCTATGTACCTCAATTTTGAAAACATATCAATTACTTTAAATTTACACATATAAACATAAATTAACAATGAATAAACAGATGTTCAATGATTACCTATATCGTTTGTAAAGATCAAATTATGACTCAGTTTATACTGAACAAAATATTTCATACGTTTTAAATGGGTAGATAGTAAATCTATGCTGACTGATAAAAAACTCATCAAAGATACCAGTCTTATAACTTTGTTTAGTCGCCTACATAAGATTCATAATTAAACAGTTCAATAAAGTACTTAAAATCTTCAACAAGTTTGATTGAATTTGCAATCATGATAATAAAAAATAATTCATTAACAACTATAAGACTGAATTCCCTGAAATGAAACAAAACGTAGGTAAAATATGGACAGTAATGCACAACAGTCTGTGACGTCAACAAAAAACCGCTTACAGCTGCTGTTTTAAATACATAAAACTAATGAATGCCGAACGTTTACGTCCATTCATTGAAAAACTATGTTGTTTGATTGAAATGCAGTTCATTTAAAAGAAAATTAAAGAAATATAAGGTAGGTAAATGAAAAAATAAAAAGCAATTTAGAAAGAAGGCGTCTTTTTGTTGTAGTCTTCCCTTATATATATATCATTACATGCACCAAGATAGTATTAGTTGATAAATGTAATTAGCTTCATTTCAATCACAAAATGAACAATAAATAAAAGCAACAGTAGGTTACAAGAGCGCAATTATTTGTTTACATTCAACCGGCAAAATTTTTACCCCAAGATGGTACTCAGAATAAAAAACTTTGAGGCTCCTGATTGGATGATGCAGGTTGGAATTATTTTTTATTTGAAAGCTTATCCATTTAGGTTTGAAAATAGGTGAAAATTAAATTCATAATTCACAATGTGTAGAAGATATAATTTTTTTATTAACTGAGGAGCCATTTAAAATTAACCTTTCCAATTTAGTGCGGAATTTGGAAGCTTCCATAACAACTGCATTTTAGGGCACTTTTTGCCGCATGACCATATACTTTTTTTTTGCTGTAATAAAAGGCTGACATCTATAGTCACAGGAACTGCTACCCATTTTTATCTAGTTTGTTTATTCTTCAAGAAATAAATTTTTGAATACCACTGGGGTCCTATGGAAAATGCATTACAAATAATTGCGCTCTTGTAACCTATACTGAAAATGGACTTTTACTTTCACTTTCAAAAACTAAGTATTTTTGGAACTTTTTAAAACACACGAGTGATTTGGATCAATACTCTGTTACAATGGATGCCTTTTGGGACGATATTGGACTCAAATTTTTTAAGAAAACTGAAGTTATGGGGAATGGGAAGGAATGTGTTGAATGGGTCGGAGCAAAAAAGGGAAAATCTTGTTATGGCATACAGGTTGTGAAATGGCCAGGGGGAGAGGAAAAAAGGGAGGCTGCACATAGACTGGCCTACATAATTAAGCATAGATTGACAAGATATGATATGCCACAAATAGATGAGAACAACAATAAAGTAGAATGTAGCCATATTTGTCACCAAACTCTCTGTGTCAATCCTGAACACATAACTATTGAACCTCATGCTATAAATCAAGACCGCCTACATTGTAAAAATCAGGGCCATTGCTCTAAAAGTCACAAGCCATATTGTTTAATATGTAATTTAATAAATAAATATTTATTTTCTAACAGATCTTTTTCTCTTTCGGTCATTTCTGCTGTATGAATGGTCACTATGTTTCTGCGGAGTAGATTTCAGTCCTTGATCACATTTTAGCAACATATTTTTTTCATATTCTATTATTTCACTTAGTTTTTCATACAGTTTGTACAGTTTAGCCCTTTTATCACTTCTAAATTGCTTGTATTGCATAGTCTTTTTGTGCTGTTTTTGTAAAATGTCAACTTTTTGTATTTCTTTTAGAGCCTTGTATGCAGAGCCTCCCACTGGGACTTCACAATGAAGAGCAGTACAAAGTTCTAGAACTGATTCTCCTGGACCAAAATTAACACTGTGAGCAGCTGAATGAGCACGACCGGTAACATTTCTTTTAAAAGTAACATTTGACGGTAAAGAACGCCTCAGGCTACGGTTAAATCCCTCAACAAAATTAGTGTTCATGTTAAGTCTGGTCTTCTCAAGTATATTTGGGCCAAGACGCAGGTTGACTGTCTTATAAAGTCTATATTTTGCTGTGAGTGTGCAATTTTGAATGTTTTTGGTAGTAGTGACCTTCCTCTAAGCCATACTTTCTGTAATCCATTACATAAAAATGAATGTTTTGTACACGACGAATGATTTCCAGTGTAACAGTTGACAATTGCGTCAACGACATGCGATATTTTATATTTGATTTTTTGAAAGTTTCCACTGTAAATTTTCCTTGCCTGAGCCAGCTCGGCATTACACCTTTCTGTCAAATCCACTGAAAAACAATTCAGTAGTTTTTGTCTCTTCACTTGTGTTCTTGCTGGCATAATCTGTAACAGGTTCTTATCATTCTTCGTACGCTTACGGATATTCTCAGACACATGCCGTGTATAAAGAAAATGTTCAGGCTGAGTACTTGTTGTGCCTTCTTCATACAAGTCTTGTGCAGCCCTGTATGCAGAGCTGTCAGGATCAGTAACCAGGTGCTCAACCTCAATGTTGTCTGCCTTAAGATCAAGGATACACTCTTTGGCCCATGTATATTCATCCCCAATACTTTTGACCATTGGAATGTTGGCACTACATTCATCTGTACACTGTGCATGTAAACGGCCTGAGTCAGGATCCACCTCAAGGCTTGAATGTATTGAACAAAGCTTATTTTTTATATTTATGCTTAGTATATTATGGTCTGTTGTTATATTTTCAGCTGTGGTATAGACAGTTTGTGTTGCAGGCTGAAATGGAGTGCGTCCAACACCGGAATACAGCGGATTGTTATACATTCCGTCCATCTGCACACTGATTGTGTTTGGATCTTCCTTCCCTCTGAGGCGATTGATTTCAATAATTTCATTTTTTCTTTTTCTCAGGTCCATTTTATTCACATCTACAATGTTTTTAAGTACTTTATTTGCCCTTCTTTGTAGACTGGATGCTGCTGGTGCCTGCATATTACCACTTAGAATGATTTTGCGCATACTGGAGGAAGCTATTGGTGTCTGACTCAGGCCAACATGTACAGCTGTATCTAGTTTTGATGGTTTTCTGCCTGGCTTTCCTGTTTCTTATTCTTCGTATAAGCTAAACTTATCCGATATATAACTGCAACTTGTACAAATCAAATTCTGGCGAGAATAGAATCCTCTTTTCTCCTCTTTCTCTAAATCGCATGATAGTTTACCCTCACAGGCAGGACTTTTTTGCTGGTGCTCCCTAAAGGCCTTGTTCCACATTTCTTCCATCTTGTAAACACACACCGTACGATAAGAATTGAAGTCAGGCCTGAAAAAACACAAAAAATTGCACATTTACACCTGTATCAAGAATATTTTCAACAAATAATTTTTCTGAATTAGAGTTACCTGCCCCTTGCTTGGGTATGAAATTTTTTAAACTGACTGTTGGACATTTTAACATAGTTTTATAGGGCTAATTATCTCTTTTTCATTTAAACAAAACATAAAACTACTTAATTATAGAAGGAAAAGACAGAGTAAATTCCAGTTTAATATATTTTTAGTGTAAGAAATGTGAAATTTTGTGAATTTTCAATATATTTTAGCAGTTTTAGACCTATTTTGTACTGTGATATTTCTTAATTGTTCATCTGTAACTGTTTTCTCTATTTAAAAGTTAGATTATATATTTTTGCCTTACCTTTTGTCATTTACAGCAGGATTCCTGTTTTTTTTTGGAACAGAGACCTCATCAGACTTTGGTCGCAGTAGTTTGGCCGCACGAGCAGACCGCCTGGCTTTTTCCTCTGGATCAGTGTATGGATCATTTACTACTAAATTGTACTTTTTCATGGTAAGTCTTGTATATTTAGGTGTGTCATAGTCACTTTTCACTGGCAATAGTTTAGTCCTTTTTTTGTTATGAGGTATACTTCCAGCCTTAAATTTAAAGATATTTCCTTTTTTGAACCCAGACATATTGGAATTGTACAGTTTTCACTTTAATTTTTTAGTGTTTGTAAAGTTTTTATATACCCTTGTAAAGTAGGACAGTATTTTATCTTTTTGCAATACAAGTTGAATGGAAAGTTCATTCAGTAATTAAAAATATTTGAGATTGAGCACATGCCTCCCTCAGAATTTGACAAATTCTCTAAACAGGCCATATGATAAACTTTGGATTTTTTTATAGCCACTATGAAGACAACCACTTTTAATTGCTATCATTCCTGTATCTCTTATCTTCAGTAATAAAAATATAAATGATAAAGATCCAGAGTGCATCTTCAGTACACTTTATTTTCAAAAATATATGACAAAAAGTTCAAAATTTGGCTAATTTTGACAACTTTAAGAAAAGTAAGGGTAGAATCCACCCTGAATGAACATTTGATTCAACTTGCACATGCATAAAGAGAAATGGTAATTTTATAAACAAAAACACTAAACAAATGAACTTTTAATGTTATTCAATGGTAATTTTTTTATTTTCATGACAGCATTCTTGAAATCTGTAGATGAAATTCCTCTGTGGCCGCAAGGCACGGGTTGCTCCTTCATATGGTAGTTTTTCTTAAGTAACTCAACCAATTTCTTCCAAACTTGGTATTTCTTCCTAATATAAGTTCTGTGTTTAACAGATACATTTTTGTCCTGATTCGAGTCAATTTTATTCTTTCTATAGGTTACAAGAGCGCAATTATTTGTTTACATTCAACCGGCAAAATTTTTACCCCAAGATGGTACTCAGAATAAAAAACTTTGAGGCTCCTGATTGGATGATGCAGGTTGGAATTATTTTTTATTTGAAAGCTTATCCATTTAGGTTTGAAAATAGGTGAAAATTAAATTCATAATTCACAATGTGTAGAAGATATAATTTTTTTATTAACTGAGGAGCCATTTAAAATTAACCTTTCCAATTTAGTGCGGAATTTGGAAGCTTCCATTACAACTGCATTTTAGGGCACTTTTTGCCGCATGACCATATACTTTTTTTTTGCTGTAATAAAAGGCTGACATCTATAGTCACAGGAACTGCTACCCATTTTTATCTAGTTTGTTTATTCTTCAAGAAATAAATTTTTGAATACCACTGGGGTCCTATGGAAAATGCATTACAAATAATTGCGCTCTTGTAACCAGTAGTATACCGGTGTTCATAAGTCATAAATCGATTGAGAGAAAACAAATCCGGGTTACAAACTAAAACCGAGGAAAACACATCAACTATAAGAGGAAAACAAAGGAACAACAGGAACACTGAAGTGCAACAAAAACAAACGCCAACATACATAGAAACGAACTATTTGATAACAACTGCCATATTCCTGGCTTGGTACAGGACGTTTTAAGAAAAATTGGTGGGCTGAGCCTGGTTGTTTGGCTACTCAAAATTCACGCCTATATGACAATGTTAAAAATATCGCTTAAATGACAACACTAAGTGACAGAAATACAGCACAAACACACCCAAGAACACTCATCACAGAGAAACGCACAAACAAATAATATAATAGTCCACACAATATGCAAACCGCAAAACAACAACGAACATCTTCCATCAACGACAGACACCACAGGACATCACAATCAGTGACGCACTTATGTAACGAACATGCAATTTCGGACTTCATACAATTATTTTCACAATACCAGTCCAAACAATCTTCATGACAATGATGGTATTGAAAGGCTGTTTTATAATTATTTGGACTACAAACGATAAGACATAACACATTAGCAAACCGAAACCATAACAGAAACATCAAAAATAGATACATGAATGTTTGATGTACAAAATACACGTCGTATAGCAATGCAAATTCACACTCGGTATTACAGTCATATTCGGGAATAGGTCACGTTCGGTACTTAGCAGACAGTTGATAAACCAAAATCTAAGACGTGGTAAAAATGTCATTAGTTAGGTTAGACACAGACACATCGTAAAGATCAACCAATTCGTGATGGTGTCTATAAAATTTACGGAGTGTCATTTTCAATCTTTCCTCCATATAACTCTGTTTGAGCAGTTTCTGCGTAAGGAGCACACTCCTGCATATGAAGTTATTATAGTGTGAATATGCACGAACAAACGTATCAATTGAGATATGTAAACACCATACGACGGAGCAGAGGGTATGTTACTGCTGAGAAATGGGAAATTGATAATTGGGAAGTTGAAATCATCCCGTTTGTCATAGATTTTAATGTGAAGTCGTCCATCTGTGTCAATATTAAGGAAAAGATCAAGGTATGAAGCAGTCACTCTTGTATCAGTAGTATCCTTAATTTCAAGTTCACTGGGATATATGAGATGCAAGTACTGACTGAAATATGGGTTATTCAGTAATAGGACATCGTCAATATATCTGAAAGTAAAATTAAAGAATTTTGCAAGGTGCTTTTTCTTTTAGTCTTTTAGAAGGTTCTCTGAATGAATTCTGCTTCATACGAGTACAAAAACAAGTCGGCCAGAAGGGGTGCACAATTAGTACCCATTGGAATACCGACTCTCTGTTGAAATATCAATCCTCCATACTCAACAAATAAAGTAGTCTCATATAGGATTGTTAATTTTTTCATGACAATGGACTTGTTTATATCTTACTAATAATTTAGGTGGTGTTGTATAAAAGAATTACAAAGGTTTGAGACATTTCAAAGTGCAAATGCAGATATAATTCAGGGATTTTAATATACTGTGATCGGGACACCCCCAATAAATAATATTATGAAAAATATTCATATTTTACTGAACTCTTCACGTTTCACTTCTGTACCTTGACATTTTGTATCCTCCCAAAAAATGCATGGGATAATTTTTTATCGTTTGTAAAAAGAAAGAGTGTGTGGTAAAAGCTTTAATATGTGCATTGATATTTAACTTAACCTCCTTTTAAATGTTGAGATGATTTCCGACGTACAATCGTTGTTTGCCAGTGGCAAATGTTTAAATTGGCTAATTTGATCCTAATTATCTAATAATTAATGGTCAAATTTACTGTCACAAAAAGTTTATTCTTTTCTTATTCAATAGACATATGGAAAGCATCCACAAATGATATAGCTGAAAGTACAACTTAGACAATTACAAAAATTCTACAGTTGTTGAAGTTTTGTTTCTTACCTACCTTGTACTATGAATCCCACGAACACAAGGGTATGTAGAATCATTTCTCAAGTCAAACGCCCTGCTTTATTTATATGAACTGTGTCTTTATAAAGGTTGTTCCGCTTTTGTAGTACTCCGTCACAACTAATATATAAATATTCATTTAACATGTCTTTTTAAAGTTAATGCAATAGCCATTAATTTAAGTACTGAAAAATAATTACTTCAATACTGGAAATAAGTATACTTTTATGTCAATGACACATCTTGAAGTATTCTTTATTGATTCAAACTCAATAGTGACAGACGTTTTTATTGCAAACTTATCTTGTATCTATTTTTTCTTCTTTTACTGTAAATAAAATTATATTGTATTTCCCGTTTGTTCAAGAAACTGTTTTTGATGAATTAAAGTAGCTTAACTGTATTCCGCCATCTTGGATTGTAAATAGCAATACACAATCGGTATATTTCTTTGCTTTAACCTGCACATTTTGAGACATATTGGCAATTAATGTGTGAGACTGTTTATTTAAATAAAAAAGTACCCAATGTTCATTTATGTTCAATTCAATGATTCTTCTTAGTCATAAAAGGGAAGAAAACTCTTATAATAAAATTGAGATTGGAAATGGGGAATGTGTCAAAGAGATCACAACAGCCCAAGGCGACCAATGGGTCTTCAACACAGCGAGGAGGTGGGCTTCAGCTGGCCCCTAAACAAAACTGTGTACTGGTTCAGTAAAAATGGACGTCACACTAAACTCCGAAACATTTAAATGAGCTAAAATTAAAAAAACATACAATAGATTAAGGAAGATGTGGTATGAGTGCCAATGAGACAACTCTCCATCCAAGTTACAATTTATAAAAGTAAACCATTACAGGTCAAGGTACGGCCTTCAACACGGAGCATTGGCTCACACCGAACAGCAAGCTATAAAGGGCCCCAAAAATTACTAGTGTAAAACCATTCAAACGGAATAACGAACGGTCTAATCTATATAAAAACGAGAGACGAGAAACACGTATGAACTACATAAACAGACGACAACTACTGTAATCAGATTCCTGACTACAAGACTAGCAAAGGCCAGAGGTCTGACTTGGGACAGGCGCACAAATGCGGCGGGGTTAAACATGTTTTGTGAGATCTCAACCCTCCCCCTGTACCTCAAATACTTTATGAAAGAATATCAATGAAATTTTCTTTTTTCACGTGTAGTAAGAAAACAAGTTCGGTGACATCATTTTTTATTTTTATTTTCTTGGACAATTTTGCATGACTTGTAGCATGTAAATAGCACGGTGACCCATACGTTTTAATTTATTTTTTGAAAAAAGCATGGTGAAATCTACATTTTAGCAAAGTATAAGAAAATTCTACCTCAGGAAATATATAGTGATTATCCACCTTAAGCATGTTAATGCAACACTAATTTTGATTTAGAAGAAAATCCGACATGGTAACAAAATACAAATAATAACACCATTACAAACACACTTCCATTTTAATGTTCTTGTCATGGTAAGAAAATACATAAAATAACACCATTTAACTCATTCCCAATGTTATATTCGTGTGCGTGTCTACAATAAAACAAATCTATTCTATTTTTAGAAATTTACCTGTGATAATATAAACGTCACAAAAAATACGTCACTTTTTGTGGCGTTGATTCGTGTGACGCACAGTTTGTAACTCGTTTGTGGTGTCCTGGTGTCCTGTCTTAAAT